CGACAGTTTCTACTGCACAAACTTGCACATGCGGAGCACTAACGAACTAGGCCACTTTGGTTTACTTTGGAAGCGATATGGGGTGATGGTGAACTGTAGATGACCAAATATATAATATTTAATATCTCGGAAACCAAAATTGCACAAACGACCATTTTAACGGCACAAACCTGCACAAACGGAGCACTAACCATTCTGACTATTTGATTAATTTTTTGACGTGGGTGGGGTGTCAGCTTCACACAGCTGGTTACATTTGCTAAAACTGCAAAATACAACAAAAAAATCATTTAACAGATTTCCATTAAAAAGTAGCTATTATGTATTTTCCAGGCACATAGTTCAATTCTATTCCACAATCAAGTAACTATGTTTAGTTGTTCTGAAAAAACTGTATGTATCAATTTCTCAAACATGCATGAAAGAGTCAAAGCAACTCTGGGTATGTTTTTGATGAGGGATAGATAGTATACCATTACACAAAGTTCAAAAAAGTAGATTTTTTAATAACCCYGCCCCCAAATACATTCTTAGGGCTGCATGCTGACACATATCAGTAGCAGTGTTGCATCGCAGTAAAAAAAAGTTACAGATTCAACTCAGCTCGGTCTTTTCTGCATACGTGTCAGCCTGTGATCTCCAACATTCTTTAATAATAAATTTATTTGCCACTGCAGCCTGCCTACTCCTCTCAAAACAACCAACAAGCATCTTGCATATTTCCACTGAGACGTAGCTCTGTTGCTCTGCATCAAGTTTAATCAGACTGAGCAATTCAAGTACGAGCGTCTGCAGGCAGAGAACACACAAGGACAGTCTCTGTGGACAGACCCTGTGGACGGCGACTCAGTAGCCTCCTTTCTCCAAACACAAACACACCAAAGCGTGGCCTGGCTTTATGTAACACTCCATTTGAAATGGAAAAAATGTACGTTGTTTTGTAGTGGGTAGTGAGGTGTGTTTTGTAACTGCTGTCAAAGGATGAAACAGTTCAAACAATAATGTTCCACAGGTTAGCATGCTGAAGAGGAGAACATTTATTCCAAACTTGTTATATTTACTGCATCACTAGAAACCAGCATCACATTGTAGTGGAATAAACCTTAAAACAGCCTGTGCAGAACTTGACTTTGATGTTTGATCCTTGGGTAGCAACAACATTATAGACCAGGGCTATTCAACTAAATCGATCCAGGGGCCACAGTTACTGCAGGCCAACAGCACAGGGGCCGAACATCCAGCAGTTAAAGTCATYATGTAATTAAACCAAGTATTACAAAGATCTGTTACCTTTGAAACAGTTTATTTTGCTGCATTTAACCCTGAATACATCATGCAGAACCCTATGTAATATAAACAATATCAACAACAAAAATAACACATTTTGCCTCCTATTTAGCACATTTTAAACCCATTTTATTTTCACTTTCATAGTTTTATCTCCAACTGCTTGTAAACTAAACTGTCTTGGATGTTCATAGAAATGGTTTTTACCAGCTTGGAGCCAAGATTCTGATGTTTCTGCAGATACAACACGTGTCTATGTCTAACTAAAAGAACTTAAAGTAGAAAAGTGGGGGTTTGGGCTTACGAGATGAATGAACCAATAGGTGGGCCGAACTTTGGTCACTCGTGGGCCGGATGTGGCCCGCGGGTCGCCAGTTGAATAGCCCTGGTATAAACCTAGAAGATGGTAGTGTTTTGTTACAGGACAGGAGAGGGTTTAAAAGCTTGGTGGAGACATGCAAAGAAGTTTTTATTTTTTATATGAAGGAATAAGAT